ATCCCTTTCCAGGCTCTGGGCATCTATTGCTGGTTGGAGCGGGGTGGGTTGAGGTTCCCCTCCCGCAGCAACTTTAGTTTAAAGGCCTCTTTGCCAGCTTGGCAAGCCTACCGTGAAAAGATGCTCCTCCCCTTCTCTGACAGATGGACTCCAGATAAATACTAGCGCTGGGAAATGGTGTTGATACAAGGATTAAAGTTTGTGCATGCTACTACAGGAATGGGAGTAAATGATCTATTAAAAGACTGCTCCTTAGTTAAACGATTGGGTTTGGACTAAAAAAAAAAGCCTTTAGACGTAAATTAAATGAGTAAGAAAATATTTTCAAGCACTGAAATATGTGACAAAAGATAGGAAAGTGGTGGGTTTTCTATTTAAAGAAAAAACAATAGTGTGGGTTGTGTTTTAAGTTGCAGTAGAGTTTAAAAGACCACAGAAAAATTAAGTTACCTGGAGAAAATTGTTATAAGCCAGCAACAGCTGAGAAGGCCTGGAAGAAAATGTTAACCAGGGGGGAGATTAAAGCTGCTGTGAGATTTCACTGTCCATGCAGTTAAGTCTGAGTTGGAAGTTACAATAAAAATGCCTGCTGTCTTAATGTAGCCCAATAAAAAGATGAAAAACAAAACACATGACTGAAATGAATAATAAAAAATTACTTTTGATGCAGTGTGATTTTAACATTGTGCTGTAACATCACCAGGTTTTTTTCAGAGTGATAAAACTCTGTTCTATGATAAAACTGTTTCAAATTAATCAGTGACTAACAAACACAATGCTTAATTTTCTATTTCCTGAAATCACCAAGGCAGTGAACATGGATCAAAGGCCTGACAGGAACCTCACAGAGGTCAAAAAAGGCAAATACATCCTGCAAGTGGGTGCTGAATCAGCTTGGTGCAGCTTTGCAGAAGCTGACCAGGGAGGCCTGAGGGACAAGTGAAGATGAAGGTGTCCAGCCCCATTCTGGGCTCCATCAGAGGAGCACAGCTGAGCAGGGGCAAGGACAGCAACTTCTCTGTTCAGCGCTTCTGAGACTGCAGCTGGAGCGCTCCAACCAGTGCTGGGCTCTGAAGGCAAGATGTGTATGGGAACGCGGCCAGGGAGGCCATCGGGAAGCTGGAGCATAGGAGCCCTGGGGAGAGGGAGTGGGCATGGAAAGCACGTTGGGGGGCAGGAAATCTTCAGCTGTGTAACAGAAGGGAGCAGAGAAGATGGAGCCAGGCTCACCTTAGTGGTGCACAGCAGTGAGGACATCTTGCCTGACTGTCAGTGTACGTCTGTGCTGCATCGTACCCCTAAAACCAGTGCAAGCCAGTACTGCCTTGCTGTACTTAATTGGTCTCCCCACACCGTGGAGCCACAGGGAGGTCCTGGAACGCTTTTGTTTCAGGAAGGGTGGATGGTGGTGTGTGTGGGGGGGTGATGTTCACAGAAATATTAAGACAGGAGAGCTGACAGATCCAGGAAAGCAAGGGAACTCGCAAATGCTTGCACATTTCCTCTGCAAACTTTTCCACACAGCTGGGTAAAGCCCTTTTGAAAAAAACCAAACAAACATGCATGTGAGCACAGGCTGGGGCTCTGGCTGTTAGCGTTTGTGGCAGGGAGAGCAGCTTTTCCCCCACAACATGGATGACTGCGTTCAGTGTAAGATGTGGAACTGCTGTAACCGGCCTAATGGGGCTTCTCTTCCCCACATTCTCCTTCTCTCCACTTGGCTATGGAAAGTTTGTACAAGTAACAGCTCCAGCGAACAAGACCTCTTGTCAGAAGGCGTGGGCTTGTGATACAGATCAGGATGTCACCACATGGGTAATACTGTCCTCCAGCTCTGGTTGGTAACATCTGTGCCCAAACCATTGTGATAAGCCTGGTTTTGGGGCAGGCAGCAGCCACCCTAGGGATGGTGATGATGTTTTCGGTTCCCAAACCCATGGTTTTGGCTCTTAAAAGCAGAGCTGTGCCTGCCCTCGTTTTAAGAGCAGCATGTGCACAACAGGAGCTAGGCAATGCTGAGGTCTGACCCATCGACTGTAACTGAGTCAGTGACAACAGGAACTAACCACAGAGGAGTTCAAACCATGTGAAAAGTATTACAGAAATTCTTGAAAAAGATGCAGTTATAGCTCTCCTGCGTGACAGTTGAGACTTGGCTGTAGAGAAGCAGTTCACTTGAAATCAGAGAACCTTTTTCTGCCTCATCCCATCTTCCTAGCTGCTACACTTAAAAAAAAAAAATAGTATCTCAAACATCTCAAGACCCCTTTTCAGCCTTAATTTTTACTGCTGCCTCAGTCCTGCTCAAATTCATATTCCGTGCTGCCTTTTGTCTGCTTTTAGTATTTTTTTTCCCTAACTCTTGTCTTGTCTTTCACTCAGACATTTTAAGACAGGTTCAGAATCTGAAAAATATTTTCTCCATTGATGTGGGACACAAACGCTGAGGAATTTCCAAGTGCAGGAGCGATGCCCATGGTGCACCTGTAGCTTAGCAAAACGCGGCCTTTATAGTTCTCTTCCATTCTTAAAAGATAAGACTCGATTAGAGCTCCCCATTAGAGAGGGAGACTCCAGCACAACTAAAAGTGCTGCTATAGGAATGCATCGTGCAGGGGCATCTCGGCTCCTGGACTGCCACTGCTCTGGAAGACTGCCCCAAAGGAAAGGGGTTTTACAGTGGCTGTTTTCCTGTATGGGATGGAAGGCAAGGGGCAAGAACAGAACTGTAGCAGGTACAGACAGGCAGAACACTTTAGGCTGGACCTCAGGCTGGTGAAGATGGCAGCTGCACCCTGTGCTGTCTGTCTCTTCCATGTATTGGAACAGCTTCCTTCCATCCAGACTGATCAAAACCCATCTTGTTTCTGAAAAATGGGTGCGTAAAGTCGGGTGCATCACCCACCAACCTTCAGTATCTGTGAAAGAAGCCAGGAGCACAAGTACTGATGATGCAGCACTGAAACGTAACGAATCCAAGCCTTCAGAACCATTTATTGTCTCTGCAGTTCACAGTAACTGCAGCTACTTTTAGCCTTGCTGGCAGCAGCAAGAAGAAACTGAGCAAGTACTTTGAAGGGATTTCTCCACAGTGCCTAAAGAATTGTTTTTTATTGTAGCTACTTTTTCTTCATCCTTTGTCCACCAAAACCTTTTTCTTAGCAATTGGATTAAAAACATGTAATAAAATCAGACAAAAAACAGCTTCAAACATCTTTTCATATGCTTTTTATGTATCTTCAGTAGGGATTTTGAATTTGTAGCACCAACTGAAAGCAAGAGGGCTGCAAAATCCATCCCTTAAAAGCATCAACGAATCCAAATTTCATTCCCGTGTCATGTAGAACTCCTCCCTGTCTCCCACATGCCTCAAGGAAAAAAAAAAAACAAAAAAAACCAAAAAACAAACCACAAACACAAAACCCCAAACAAAACCTCCCAAAATCAACAGCCTTTGACAAACTACTTGCTATGTCAACTCTTGGAGCATTACTAGACATTTTTAGGTTAGACTGTCAACAGTTTCTAAATAGCATCTATATTATATGGACATTTGTTCAAAAACCTTTTGCCCCCACCTTGAACAGCCCCACCCTTTCCCACTGACTTGCAGAGCCTGTCGGCAGATGCGCTGCACTGACTGTTAGGTGAACAATGCAGGAGGAACTGAGGAAGGGGTAGCCACGTCCACGGAAACTGCCACTCCAACGTAAGGAAACACTTTGGAACATCCCCCTTTCTCCTTCACCTTCCAGGGTTATGCACAGTGACTGAAACTAAACAGAGCTACACAAAGTCCCAAGCGCTGACAGTGACACACCTGATGCTCGGCCAGTACTTCTGCATTTCAGGTGGTCACACTCAGCAAAATGAGGTATCACGTATTTCAGAGGTGGAGGTACCAAGTCTGTTCAAAACCCAGACTTGTTAACATCCCATCAATACTGTTTGCGAACAGATAGGCAACTACTCTAAATCAAACCAGAAATGAACATTTGTATGTCGTGTTGCTGTTCTAGTTTTACATAGATTAATGTGACATTCCACAAAATTGAAATAGTGTGCTTTGTTACCTGCTCATTTGGCATATCAAATATGAAAGTTTTAAACTTTCAAGAACCAAAAATTAAAAACTGGTTATTTAACTTTATATTAAAAGGTCACAGTTCCTAAAAGGATACTTAACACAGCTGCACCATTTTGATGGTGAGCACTCAAATACATTAAGAACTTTTATCCACAATAGTTCTGCTAATAATATAGGCACATAGTGGTATGTAAACTACATGTGGCAACCAGAACAGCAAAGGCACAATCTGGATTTCTTTTTTTCTTTTCTCCACCCCTCCCCCTTTTTTTTTTTTTTTAAACTTTTCAAGATGTTGATTAATTTACAAAGAAAAATATCCTATACTTCACATAGAAGTATGACATTTATATTTTATATCACAGGACCATTACAGAACTACTGTCTGATAAAATGGGTCATTTAAATAAAAATTAAAAAAAAAAAAAAGATAGCAGCTCTTTGCACTGAGGAACTGAATTTTAAAGGACAATACACGTTCTCATCTGTCAGGCTGAGAACATCTGAAATCCCCTGGGTGTATCTTCATGTCTACAAAAAGCACTGCCTGCACACTTAAGGTAGTTACAAGCTTTCTGGTTTGCTATTTTTGGCTTGTATGTTTCCCCATACGTCACTTGACTGAGAACTCAAAAATTAAGATGTCTGTAGGACTATCAGTTGCTTCTCTAACACAAAGTAGTTTTAAAACACTGATACAACTCGGAATCCCACTGCGATCCTCTACGAACCGACCCTAGGTCGGATGCCTTTGTCCATACCGGCAGACCCAACTGTGTGTCCAAAGGGATCACTCTAAGCACACCTGCTTTCTCAGCGGGAGACAGCAGCAGGAACAGTTTCAAACCAGAACACAGCCCTCAGCAATTCAAAGTTACATCTAATGCAGTGACTTCCAAGTGTAATCTCTACCCACAGCTCCAAGAATATGACAATTCTGCATTTTACATAGAAACATTACAGTTAAAGAGTAAGTAGAAAATTTTAGTTTACAAATGGAAAAGATCTTTCTATTAAAAAAGAAATTTCACGTAGTTACCTTAAATAGTTCTTATATGCACCATTCCACATTGTGGAAAAGCTGAAATATGCAGTCTGGACTCCACAAGTTAACGAAAAACAGAATTACATGTATTGGCACAAATACTTACATCTACATCTGTACAAAGTAAAAAAAGCCGATAACCCTGTCCCACCAGCGCAGCGTGTTCAGCTGCTCTCCAACACACTGTCCTGTGCGACTGCCAACGAGCCACAGCGAGATGGGACTTAGCCTGAAGAGAGTGGTGCCAAAAAAGTTCCAAACTGCTTTGTCAGTCTCTGAACAAAGGAATCAGAAGTATATCCAAAAAAGTGTCAGTCCCACTGAACACACGGCAGCTGTGAGGTCACTGCAGCTGCACTCTGTACGCTCCAATTAGCAGCTTTACCTGTAAAAGCAGACAAAGGTTTCACATAAAGATCGCTCAGGCGGAACTACTGTGTTAAGCACTGCTCATCTCCGAGCAGCCTGAGAGAAGGCACACAACTGACAGGGACTGAAAAAGGGGAAAAAAGGAACTTATAATCTGCTGTTAATAAAATCAGCTTCTAGGGGCCCTACTGAAATACAATCGGCTTGTACAGGGACTCAAGTAGAATCCTACTGCACGAGGTGGCGGTTGAACAAGTTAAACCAAATCTGAACTAGACACAGACATACACTTCCATCTGAGTACGAGTTCAACTTTTTTGTTCCCTTTTAAAACCAAGAAGTGCACAGTACAACATTTGAGAGTGTAAGTTTTAAATCTGAAGATCCAGAAAATTTACTGGTGTGTCTTCCAAGAACAAAAAAAACGCCACCAGAACAGGATCTGTTACTCATCCTACAGCATGCAGTGGGACTAATGCCCAAAGCACCTGGAAAATACAACAGACTACACAGACTATTTAAAAGCAGACTGTGTATCCTAGTAAGTACTTCCAAGTCCTCCTAAACACACAAGCAAGAACATCTGTATACAAAAAACTGACGCTCCACGTACCGGTCAGTCATTAAATTCACAACATAGATGGGGAAAACGTTTAGCTGTAACTTTACTTTATCCTGGTGCATGAACTATTTTCTGACTGCAGCATAAAACCATTTAATTATGACAGAAGTAACACCCTTGGCAACGTTCCTAAGTTCTGGCAATGTCAGGGGATGGAACTGTAACTGATGGGAACCGCAATGAGAAGATGGTGGGAAGTCCTTAGTTTTACATTTGCAACATTTGCAACATACGAGTAGAAGCATTTAGACTATGGAAGAGTTCTTGCACAACAGATTAACGTCCACATTTAATTTTGACAACATTTTGTACCTTGGCAGTAGGAGCTTCTGCCAACCGTATAAAAAGCTTGTTAAGGCCTGCAGTAGGGCTGAAGGAATAAATAAAGTGACTATCCTAGAAGGAAAAAGAAAATGGACAAAGTTAACAGCAGGATACATCTGAAAAAGTGCTATGCGAGTGGACTAACAGAACACGACATTCTCACTACGCATTTGATGAAACAAAGTTGTATAAACTGCAAAGAACCTTTGCTGCAACCACAGACAAAACAAGAGGACTTGAAAATTGTGCAAAGTGATGCATTTAATAGGTTAAAATAAAAAAAATAAAAATTAATCTCTAGAAATATGAAGTAGGTTGTTAAAACAAATATTGAAGAACTTACTTGGGTGAAGCTTTTGAGAGGCTAGGTGAATTTGGGAAGTGAAACAGCTTTAAATTCAGAATTCTCACCTGCCTGCTCAAACCCTCAGTTCTGAAGTCACAGAATCACAGAAGGGTTGAGGTTGGAGGGGACCTCTCAAGGCCATCTGGTCCAACCCCCTGCTCAAGCAGCACCACCTAGAAGCAAGCTGTCCAGCACTACATTCCTGCCTTTTAAATCACATTTTTATGGAGTCTGTTACACACAAGGTTTGTACTTCTCTCCATATAAAAAGAATAATTAAGTTTCATTTGAAAAAAACCTACAAACTAACTCAAAATCTGATCATGATTAATGAAATGCTTCATCACAATACTCCAAATTAAGGCACTAAGACATCCCAGGCTGCTCCTATAAAGCAGTTTTACAATCAGTTACATGAAAAGATTTACCAAAAATACAGGGAGCTGGAATTTGTCATTTAAAACCACAGCTTGTACACTGCATGGTCCACAGAGCCGAGCAATGACTTCTTTACCGAAAAAATTTGCATGGAAAACAAAGAGAAGAATTCCAGATCCTGAAAAGGAAGACAATTCAGTCACATGAATTTGAAATGAGATCCATCATTTAGAACAACTGCATACACTGAACCTTTGAAGACAGGTACAAATATATATAAAAATATTATAAAGTATATATTAAATCCCAATGGATTATCGAAGTAACCTGCAGAAACCCAACCTCCCAAGCCAGAGGATCCCAGGACAGAACACAACAGACTTGGTCACCAAGTCTGGCAGCAGAAATAGTTTTATGTGGCTGTTAGAAAGGAAATCAAAACGTACACAGCAATAATCCTCCGTATTGTTCACCTCTGTGGTTTTAGGTTTACCTACAGAGAGTTGCAGGATTCAACGTGGTTTGGATTGTCTGTTCCCTTGGTAAGGACAAGTGAGCCCCGTCAACTGCAGATCTTTATGAACCACACTGAAATTCAGTAAGCAACAACCTCCAATACCCACAAATGCCTCATTTTAATACCGAACTTATATAAGGTCTCTTAATTCTCTAAAGGACACCTATAATCAAGAACTGGAAGACTTACAGCTCTAACAACCAGAAAAATCGAGCAGACACAGCCACTTTAAATCCTAGTTTAAGTAGTATTTCAGTCACAATAATGTATTATTTCGAAAAAAATCAGTATCAGTAGATACTTCCCTGATACACTCAAAAGGTGAATAAAACTAACTCAACTAAGCCAAGCATTGGAGATTAGTATTTGGATTCCTGAAAGGATGAAGACTCATTCCCTAGTATCTTGGGAATTTGATTTCCAGCTTTTTCAAAGGGTCTGTGCGCAAAACTGAGTGGAACGACGCTGGCTTCTTTTTTGTAGTATTTCTAGACTGCATTTCTATCATGACGGTGCTGCGACTGTAAGCCAAGACTCCAGTGTGTTAGGTGCTGTCTGCAAAACAAGATGATCCACTACGAGATTTTTAAGTATGCTCTTAGATGAAGATTTTTCAAAATCATTAATTCTAAGGTAAACCACTCCTTTCCTATAATACCTGTCACTTAGCTAACGTCACCCTCACAACACTAATATAACCCATGAACACAAGAAGGCAGCTGTGTATCTAAGGAAAAAAACCCAAACAACTCAAAAAAATACACACAAACCCCACCCACAATGCATCAAAAACCCACAGCTCTCCCTATGCTCCATAATCAGAGCATCCTTAAAGTACGGCAATATGTCACACAAAAATAATGGTGCATAGCAGAGACTTTAAGACATACTTAAAAGGCAGTTTCTTAACACACTGTTCTACCTTTTTTTTAAAAAAAAAAAAAAAACAACAACAACAAACCCACCACCACCAACCACCCCCTACCTTCTGGCACATTTTGTGGGGGGTTATAGTTAAAATCCGTAGAGAAGTCTGGCCCTTCACAGAGACGATGACACGCAATTGGGAAGACTGGCTCCAGCAAAGCAAGACGAGCTTCAAAATAATCCCTGATGGTATCTTCTGCTACTCTCGAGAGCCTAAAAGACCAAACAAGTGAGGCCAGTGCTCCACACAGTAAAATTACTTTACCAGACACAGACTTGGTGACAGCTGATGCAAAAAAGGATCCAGACCATCTTGCTGGATTCCTGATTTTCAGCAGTGAACACCTCCATCACTAGCATTTATGCACAGACGAACCCCAGGTCCCAATAATTTGTTAATAAAACATTTTATTGGTGATCTGTTTGCGAAATTCATCTTCAGGTCCACAAAAATAAAAACCTGAGATAAATGGACTGCAGCAGATTAAAAAAATTCCAACTAGCCATGTATTTTGAAGGCTCTTTACGTAGAAAGATATCCCCGAAATACCGGTATGTAGCTAGTGGCTAGACAGAAATCAGTGTGGCTGATTTACCAACCTGACTGCAATTACAACGTAAAAACAAACAAGTCGCTGTACAAATTTTACTGACAATACTATTGGAAAAAGGCAGTTCCCAGTTAAACTCTGCTAAGAATGCAGTGAAAAAGGAGCAACACTACCATTAAATAGCCAAGATGGAGTGGGATTTTTTGGGTCAGGGAGGGGGAAAAGGTTTAAGTTAAGTAAGCAGCCTAGCCTTCAAATAGAGACACGTTAACCAACAGTATTAGGCACCTTTACAAGCAGGTTACTAAGCAAACCTCTTCAGAAAGCTGTTTGGACACAAAGGGGTTTTAAACGCTTTTGCAAGGCAAAGGTCCCAACTCCCTCAGCTCCGTACCTCTTTCAGCTGTTATTCAGAGCACGCTTCCCCGCCACACTAGCTGAGATTCTGCACAATTTAAAACTGAAGTGTTTGATTGGAAAGAAACCACAGGAACTGCCATATGACAGCAAGGCTTGAAGCCCATCTAGCCTAGTTTCCAGATGCCAGACAAAGCTGTATGAAATATGGGAAATTAAACAGTTGTCTTTTTTTGGTACACTGTCCTAGTTTCCAGCAATCTGATTTAGAGGTTTCCAAAACTGGAGACTGCAGCCAAATCGCACCTCTCCTTAGATCTACTTAATCCCTTCTAAAATCCAACGCATTTGTGCCCACAGCATTCTGCAATGAGATCCATAATTCAGTTTTTCTGTGCAAAAATATTCCTCCATTGCAAACCTATCACTAAATCACTTAACAGGATGGCGTGCAGAACCTGCCTTACGGCTTTGGGTTGTTTTCTGTTGTTACTGTCTTCCGATTTTATTTTCAATTTTGACCTTTTAATCTGTCCCAAGGTGACATGCATCACCTCCCTCAGTCTATCCTCACAGAAGCTACTCCTTACGTCTGATCATCTTTACTTTTCCTTTTTGCTCCATCTGTTTTTGAAACCAGGTAACTGGAATGGCATGTGCTATTTAAGGCGTTCGGAAACCATGGATTTACATTTTATTTTCAGATACTACCTTATCTTCCTTTTTGACTGACAAGAAGCACTGAACTGGTATTTTCAGGTAATGAGTCCAGAAGTTTCCTCAACTAGCAAGAGCTGTATATATCCCGGTATAATTCACATTGCTACGGTCATAGCCCATGGACATCACTTTGCATTTATCAACATTTAATTTCAACTGCCATTTCGCTGGTAAAACCACACGTTCAAGATCTTCCAAAACTCGTTTTTCAGATTAGCCTGAACTAAAGGTGGCAGATTTTAAATAGGGAACAAACTGGAAAAGACATCAAACAGCAAATGAGTGACGAAGTCCCAATACACTGAACAGCAGCTACCGGATTACTTTTATCAGCATGCTTGCTGTTGCCTTCAAAACCTTGACTCACAAGTCATGATTTCCTTCCCTGGGGATGAATCAGCAGACTCCATTTATCCACTTTAACTGCCCCTGCTCACTTTAACAAGTTTTCTATATTTGAAATATTATTATTCATTTTTATGCTTTTAGCACTTTTTTTTTCCACTTAGCCTGCTATAATAAGAAAACATTCCTTATAGCTTCTGTCTGCTCAGGAGTTCGATGCAGTGATCTACAATACCTCAGACAAGCTTTGTGTGTGCATGCATATGGTATCACAATATTTTCCTCCTGGTAAGAAACTGGATCAGAACATGTTAGTTCAGCAAAAATGAGTAGCGCTACTGGTGCACCCCTGGGGTCAATACTGGGTCTGGTCCTGTTCAAATCTTCATTAATGACCTGGATGATGGGGCAGCGTACCCTCAGCAAGTTTGCAAATGACGCCAAACTGGGAGGAGTGGCTGATACACCAGGGGGTTGTGCTGCCACCCAGCGGGACCTCAATAGGCTGGGGAAATGGGCCAACAGGAACCTCATGAAGTTCAACAGAGAGAAGTGCAGAGTCCCGCACCTGGGGAGAAACAACCCCAGGCAGCAGGACATGCCGGGGGCCACCCAGCTGGAAAGCAGCTTGGCAGAAAAGGACCTGGTGGACACCAGGCTGAACACGAGCCAGCAATGTGTCCTTGCTGCAAAGGCAGCGGATAGCATCCTAAGCTGCACCAGGCAGAGCGTTGCCAGCGGGCCGAGGGAGGGGATCCTTCCCCTCTACTCAGCACCGGTGAGGCCACACCTGGAGTGCCGTGTCCAGTTGTGGGCTCCTCACCACAAGAGAAGCATGGACATACTGGAGAGAGTCCAACAAAGGGCCACAAAGATGATGAAGGGACTGGAGCATCTGACACACAAGGAAAGGCTGAGAGAGCTGGGACTGTTCAGCCTGGAGACGAGGAGGCTCAGAGGGATCCTATCAACGTGTATACATCAATAAACACCTGAAGTGAGGGGGCAAAGAGGGCGGCACCAGGCTCTTTTCAGTGGTGCCCAGTGACTGGACAAGGGGCTACAGGCACAAACTGAAACACAGGAGGTTCCCCCTGAGCATCAGGCAATACATTTTTGCTGTGAGGGTGACTGAGCACTGGCAGAGGTTGCCCAGAGAGGTTATGAGGTCTCCATCACTGGAGATATTCAAAAGCAGTCTGGACAGGGTCCTAGGTAACCAGCTCCAGGTGGCCCTGCTTGAGCAGGGCATTGGACAAGATGACCTCAAGAGCTCCCTTTCAACCTCAACTATTCTGTGTTGCTGTGTTTCTGTAATTTCATAACTGAGTTCCTTTAGAGTTCGCAGGCAAATACAACCTTGCCCTGGAAATGTATTTATTTGTGTTTCACTAGTGCGCAACAGAACATTTTTTACCTGACATTTCACTTTGCAAACGTTCCACAAATTTCTCTCCTTTACAGAAGGGCTCCCTAACCTCCACTGTGACCACCATGGCAATGATCATATGGAAGTGTTTGCTTATAGATCTTTCTTTTTAGACTCAGTATGCTTAAATTTCGTATTTAATAAGGTTCTAAAGGAAAGAGCACCAGTAACTATCTAAAATAGCATAAGAACATTGGTAACACTACAACACATATCAGTGACCATTACAAGGCAGTTTCTGTCAAGACAGATTTAGGATGTTAGCTCTTGGGAAACACAACAAATGAGACACAGAAAACAGCCAGGGCCTTCTAAACACTAAAACAGAACGGAATGAGCTTGGACTACAAACTACTTGACAGATTTGTTTTATATTACATAGACAAATCATTAGGATAAAATCATCATAAAAGAGTAAAAGAATCTTGCACTCAGACAGTGTTCTTCCAGCACTAACTATGCATTCATGGCAAAATCTCACCTGCTGCAGAAGCTCCAAGACCCTCCTTGAGTCTTCCCCAAGTTTAGAGATTGTTGGTTACGATTCTCTGCCCTGATACATTAACTATCAGTGTTCCTCCAAAACTGTATTTAAAGAGCTTGCTCCTTCTCTTTGTCTCCATTTAGCATCCACATTCATCAACTCTGTGTATTTTTACGTGACCATATTACGCGAACGCTTCACACACCACACACACTGCAGTGCTCCTCAGTCATTCTGTTGTGCAATGAAGATTTTTATTTCCATCATTTTCTGACATGAAAGCTTTACTCTGGCACTCTCAGCTCACAGCTGATGTCTAAGAGTCCAACACCACCCTATCTGCACTGACTTTTATGGTGGTTTTGTTTGGTGTTCTTCTGTTTATTTCTAATTTTTTAACACTTTTTAGCAAGGTATTCTATTTGACACGCCCTAATAAGAGTTTACATTCAACTTTCCAGTGCTTATACACTTTCTCGTTTTTCCTGATTGCTGTATTTGTATTCTAATGAATCTTTCACTTCTAGTAACTCCCTTTTCCTCCTTTCCATTTTTTTACTCAGTGTCTAAGCAAGTCTTTGCTAATTCTGCAGCTCACATCATTTTCATTTCAACCACAAGATTTATTAGCTTTCTGCCCAAATCAGATCGGTTTTCTTTCCTGAACTCTCCCCCTCTTCCCCTTGACTTAAACCAAAATTATGACATGCCCAGTATTGCAAACTTCACCAGAACAAACTTCAAAGTACAGTTTACTCACGTTTCCAAATGACTCTTGAGCTGCTCGTACACCAGTACATTATTACATTGCTTCGCAAAATGCAGCGCGCTGTTCTGATGCTTTGACAGAATGTTGCAGTCTGCTCCGCTTTCAATCATCAGCCGCACTATATCCGAATTCCCTCTTTTACAAGCCTGTGCAGAAAGTGAGAAGGATGGAAGGATAGACAACAGTGACAAATCTCCCCTCAGAACAGACCATAACATTGCAGTAAGCAGAACAGCAGAAATTAATTAAAACTCTGAATTGTTACAATGCAGAAAACAAGTCTAGGTATTTACTTTGTGAATGCTAACACAACCCAACACTCAGGACCACACTCCACAAATATTTTATGTTTACCCAGGCAACACTACACACCTGATCCCACAGAAGCAGCACACAGGATTATCAAGTGGACTTAATTAGGGGAAAAAAAAAAATAGATAAAACAAACTCAAAAGTTCTGTGAAAAGATCTAATCTGCTGGAGTTCAGTAACCATAAACTTACTTGCAATTGTTTGTTTACCTGAATAAACAGGCTCCTGCAGAAGTATTCAGAATGACTGAAGTAACACTTCCAAGCATCTGTTTCTAGGAAACTCAGTTCAAACGGTACTTCAGGTGTGCAGTAAATTAACAGAATTTGGCCCAAATTTTTATTTAGCTATGGCAGACAGTCACTGTTAGCAACTGCCCAAGTGTCCAAGGCTGTTCAATGTTACCTACAGCAAGAATTTCAGGGCACTGACAAAGCACATGGAAGTCTAAAGAAAGCTTTACTCTGAAGAATGTAAACACACGCTCTTGGTCGCTTGTTTTCAAACATTTCACTCATACAAATTAGGGCAAAGCTCAAGAGATACAAATGTCTATCTTTATGAGGCCCTACAGAAGTTAACTTCTGAAGTTTGTCTCAGCTCTGAACTTTCATCCGTGCTTTCAATCCATAATCTCCCACAAACAAACTCACCTGCCCCCTGCAAACAAAAAATCCACAAAAAAAAACCCCGACAAAAATCACACACCACCTCAGAGAAAGGAATTAAGTGCCAAGACTTCCCCCCCGCCTTTAAAAAGTATGATCCAACTCCTGAGGTTAAGTAAGAGTGACCTGATAAATGCATTTATATGTTTATCCACACATGGCTAAACTTGTTCCAGTCAGTTACGGAACTGAAGAACCTACTCTTTGTACCTGCACAGCAAAACGAATATCCAGAATATGTCACTGCAGGCTGCCAATCAAAGTACGTACAGCTGTGCATCAAATACTAATAAACCCTTTAAAAACAAAGAAGTCAAACCCGAGGTTCATGGAGGTAGCCAAATTATGAAGAGATTTTGGACTGATAGTGGCTGAGGAAACCACAAATGTGTCATCATTTTCTTTACAGAAAATGTGAATTCCCCACACTTGTTAAGCCTAGCAAGAGAGAGAGGAGAAACAATACCACGCTGTCTTGGAAAGAAAAGCTTTTGTAACCTCTTCTGCAAAGAAATTGGCTTAAACAGCCTACATATAAATATAGCAGGTTTATCAGGAACAGGAACTTTGTGAAATTATTTGATATAAACAAAAACAGTATTAAGAGGAGCACAGACTGTTGTAATGGGAAAATTCTAAGACCCTTAAAACAACATATTTTTTTTTTGTGATGGTGGGGCATAAAGGTGCAGAACAGGCAGTGGGAAGGAGACTGCAAACCCATTATTTTGTTTCTAGTCTGCAATGAAATAACACAAGTCAATCACAGCAACACCCAAGTGCAAGATTCTCCTTTCTAGAATTTTTCACTTCCTGCTAACAACCAGATTATCTCAGTTTTAAGACCACATCTGCATTTCTTTGAGCTAAACAATGGAAGAGGATGATGAGCCACATTTAGCACTGTATGCTAATGGCATCTGCATTTTATATTACTATAAACAACTAAATCAACTCTATAACTATGCTTCTATGTTTTATTAGTTTGCCAAAAGTATTTACTATTAAACCGCGTCAGGACAAACATTGACTTTACCTTCATTAAAGCAGTTTCACCGCTGCTCTGCTGCATGTTCACATATGCCCCAGCTTCCAGAAGTATAGCTACTGTTGTTAGAAAATTCTGAAGAAAAAGACATAACCACAAGACAACTAAGTAGAAAATATACCACTTTTGTTTCAGAATATAAAGTGACATTTATTTAAAATCCATCAGTAAAACCCAAAGCATGAGGCATGACACAGCATCACAGAACGGTAGGGGTTGGAAGGGACCTCTGGACATCATCTAGTCCAACCCCCCTGCCAAAACAGGTTCACCCACAGCAGGCTGCACAGGACTGCATCCAGGTAGGTTCTTAATATCTCCAGAGACTCCACAACCTCCCTGGGCAGCCTGTTCCAGGGCTCTGTCACCCTCAAAGTAAAGAATTTTTTCCTCATGTTCAGGTGGAACTCCCAGTGCTCCAGTTTGTGCCCGTTGCCCCTTGTCCTGTCGCTGGGCATCACTGAAAAGAGCCTGGCCCCATCCTCTTGACACCTGCCCTTTAGGTATTTATAAGTGTTGATAAGGTCCCCTCTCAGTCTTCTCTTCTCCAGGCTAAACAGCCCCAGGTCTCTCAGCCTCTCCTCATAGGAGAGATGCTCCAGTCCCCTCATCATCTCAGTAGCCCTCCACTGGACTCTCTCCAGTAGCTCCTTGTCTCTTTTGAACTGGTGAGCCTAGAACTGGACACAGTACTCCCAATGTGGCCTCATCAGGGCAGAGTGAAGCGGGAGGAGAACCTCCCTCAACCTACTGGCCACACTTGTCTTAGTGTACCCCTGGATACCACTGGCCTTCTTGGCCACAAGGGCACATTGCTGGCTCATGGTCAATTTGCTGTTCACCAGGACTCCCAGGTCCTTCTCTGCAGAGCTACTTTCCAGCAGGTCGACCCCCAGCCTGGACTGGTGCATGGGATTATTCCTCCCCAGGTGCTGGACCCTACACTTGCCCTTACTGAACCTCATAAGGTTCCTCTCCGCCCAGCTCTCCAGCCTGCCCAGGTCTCACACCATAAGGCTGTGCTTCCATTCAGCATCAGCCACTCCTCACAGCTTTGTGTCATTGGCAAAGGTACTTGCTGAGGGTGCGCTCTGTCCCTTCATCCAGGTTATTGATGAATATGTTGAACAAGACGGGCCCCAGTACTGACCCCTGGGGAACACCGCTGGCCACAGGCCTCCAACTAGACTCAGCACCACTGATCACAACTCTGAGCTCTGTCCTTCAGCCAGAAGTATCTACTGTACATGGGAAAACACATGAACCAGCTTGAACAAAAAGAGTGCAACCATGAAACATCCTCTAACTTACTAGTCTAGCTGGTCTTTGTTTGAAAAGAGCTTGCCACCATCTCCCAACTCTCAAATAGTAAACCCTACTTAATCAGAGGTTTGCTTTCAAAGTGTCCTAAGACTGGATCCTGTGTAGCCAGAGATCATAAAAAGCAATTCTAACACAAGAACTTCCGCCTCCATGACAGAGATATCCTTTACCCCCACTTCCCCTCTAGGTAGCACTATGATATTCTCTACCCAGGGTAGGCTTTGTGACCAGGATTTGTGTACACTACAGTAACCACAGCTGTTGAAATTATGCAGTTAAGGTCACTCTGCTATATCCCTCTAACTACGTTTTAGGCTTCATCCAAGTGAAAAAAAATTGTGTGCCATTTTTAAACATAAGTGAAAGAGCCAACCACCACAAATATGACAATAACCAAGCCAACCTTTTCAGCTGCATGTATCAATGCAGTTGTTCCATTTTTCTGTCTACCATTAACTTTAGCTCCTTTCCTGATTAGGACTCGGAGAAGGTCATCATGCCCACCAGCAGCAGCAAGCATTACCAGGGTCATGCCACTCGAGTCCTGAAACAAGAATCATTGCCAGTTTAAAAAAAAAAAAAAACAACAACAAAAACCCCACAACTTAAGACAAATGAAAGCTGCAAGACAAAAATTGCAAGTATGTCAACAGGTTTCACAAAGATTCCCCTCCCTGGCAGAAGAATTCACACATACACAGCTGCCAGATAGCGACAAACTATCACCTCCCACTTCTCTTGTCCACAGGCTTCACGCTCTGAGCTCCATAATCTGCAAAACCCATAACATTCCGAAGACCAGGAAGGAAGAAAAAAAACAAACAGAATGAGCCAGGAAAAAAGGCAGCAAGGCACTTGAGGGTGCAGAAGACAGCAAGAGAGTGGAAAAAGAATCTGCAGCCACTGGAGGAAAACCACAAAAGCTCAAGTGAGCTGCTACCACAATGCTGCTGTTGGATTTTATTAGAGTGAAAGTATGAAGAGACTTCTGTGAGTGGCCAGTCTCCTCGCTCATTCTTGCATCTTCCATCAGACACTACAACTCAAAGAACACATGCTTGCCTCAGTATTTCATTTGGCATCTTTTCTACAACACTACAGAAGTCTCAACATATGTATAGTTCTCAAAATATTACATGAACTACACAAGATCACCAGTGAAAATACTGGTATCAGAGATTTTAATCCCCAAAAATGGAACTATAGTACTATTTAACAGGAAATTAGATCCTTGAAAGAAAAACCACTAAGAACACCGCTGATGAAGACCTGGCAGAAAACTAATTATTCATGGAGTAAAGTGGTCCCAGTCTGTCAAACAGATCATTCAATTTTATTTTTTTTCGCATGTATAGATTTTTCTACATAGTTCAGCCACTTCATTCCTTATACCATGTAAAGTTCTACATTTAATATCCAGTTAAATCCAGGGGGCAAATTTGTAGCAAATCCAGCTACTGGGATGCTTCTACCAAACTTTAATTCTATCAAACTCCTTTTTCCTTTGGAAGAATCAGATAACAAACACTGAATGCTCAAATTTGTACTCCCTTTCTCACCTTGTGCCTTTTTTTTTTCCCCAAGGTGAGACAGAAGTCTGCTGCTACCAAAAGGGGAAAACTTTTCAAACAATCCAAATTTGTACTCTTCCCTCCCGCCTCTCTCCAACAGTTCTATTGCAGAAAAATTACCTCTTGATCCAGATTATATTGCTCATTTGATGAGAGCGCCATCTTTACTGTCATATAATCACCACTTTTAACAGCATCCCTCAGGAGAGCTAGAAAATAAATTCAATGCAGTTACAAGATATTTCACTGTGAAACACCAGCTAAGAAATGTCCCTTCCTCCCAGCAACTACTCACTACTTGATATTGGTTCTGTTGACACATGATTCTCATCTTCTCCATCAAGATGCTTCTGAAAGTCTTCTAGTGTCAGCCATTCTAACTGCATGTCCATACCCAAACTCAAGACTTGTTGCTTGCCATCTGTCATGTATTTGATTTTACGGAAGAAAAAATGTAAAATAAGTAATAACTAACTTATAAATTTCCAAACCATTCATTGCTTGCCATTGCTTCAACGATCAGCAGCTTAATGTACTACTACTTTTCATTCAAATAGACTCTGGAAGTCAGCGTGGAATGGTTCCAAACAATGAAGGCTATGTTACAAACAGACATAAAATGCTTTTACCTGAAAAATACTGTTTATCTGTTGTAACAAATTAGGCTGAACTGACAAGAGATGGTGAACACTCCATTACGTTAATAGAAACACTCTGGAACCACACTGAAAAGTTATCAGTGAGTTTCAAAAGAAAACATCATTTCAGCCTCCTGCGGAGACAAGAACTGGAGCGCTAAAAGATGCAAGCAGGAATGAAGAAAATATTTAACTGCCAGTGCTCAACTTTCCCCTGCATTTGTTTCTACTGCTCACCAGAGTTCTCCATTTGACACACATCCACTACTTCTCGATCACCTTCTGCAGCAATGTAAGTCCATGTGTCTGTTTCATCTCTTACGTTCCTCCTTTCCTTGTACACCTTGCTGTCTTTTGATTTTAATTCTTCTATGAATTTATATTCTAGCGAAGATTCTTCTCTTTTGCAGTTATTCTCAGAATATTCACTTTTTTCTTCTGAAGCTACATTAAACAAGTCAAATGCACTTTTGATGTCCTTAAAGCCTAGAATATTAAGACAGTTACCAAGAGTGACTACTTGAGCCACTAAAGACTATTACATAACAAAACTTAAGAGAGTGACTAGAGTCCATTTAGAAATGGTCTGTTCTCTTTCTAGAAGTTACTCGCTGCTGAAGCATAGGAGAGCAAGCTTAACAACGTAAGCCAAAAATTGGGGACAGCTAGTTCACCTCCAGCTACCCTGGCAAGTCCAAGTCCATTTCAAGAAATCTAGTTTAGAATTATGCATCAATCACTACTTTGAATATATGGTTCAGTATCTGTGATGAACAGATGAAGGACATGTGCTGTATGAGGAACAATAATTAGCCATTCTCTTTGTTACTACTTTTATTAGCACTGTAAGCATCCATGCTACTTTCAGTGAAAGGTTTCTCTAGCAACAGCTATTTGAAGCATCGTAGCTCCTCCTACATACATTTATGATTATCAAAGGTGGAGTTACCTAATTTTCCTCGGTTCACCCTCACCACAATCGTGAGAGAATTTATCCTGAATAAAATCATTCAGAATTTTACTGAGATCAAGAGTGGCAACATTAATACTCCATTATATTATTAAGAACAGAAATACAGCCTAGATATTGTTCTTCATGCATCAAATCATCCATTTCTGGTGATATTTTAAGGGTTGTATAATATAACTCATTATTGCAGCTAAAGCAAGAGGCAAGAAGTTTGTCTGATGGGAACCTCTACTAGTCTTTCTAAACATAGAAAGTATGTATTCATAGTATCATCAGAACACTTCTGGAAATAGCCAATAGTTGGATGAATTCCTCTAAAAAAAAATTATTACTGTTACATGCCACAGAAGCACAGCAGACAATATTAAATGAAAAAGGGCAAAATCTTGACTTGTCTATGAAAACTTTAAGAGATTTCTATACACTTCCAGGCTTCATACATGAAAGTACATACAGCATTCCCATGAAGCATATATTAACAGAGCCATTAAACAGCAGACTTCTGCTTCCTAAAATAAAAGGAAGAAATTCTTGTTTCTGGTATGTGTTACAAAACTATACAATATCCACTCTTGTAAAAATAAGAGAATGTCCTGAAGGGTCTTTCCCTTCTCTCTTTTAAGCACTTAGCACTTACTTTTTAGGCCCTTTTGCTCTTTTCTGCTCTTTTCTTCTTTCTCAGGCTCCTTTTTTTGAGATTTTTCTTTTGTTTCAGTTTTCTTTACTTCTTTCTCCTGATACCGAGAACAAAGATCAAATGAATGTAGTAGAGAAAAAAAAAAATAGAAAATAAACTCCTTTCACCACTCCAATGGTGAATACTACTGAAACCTGTAACATAACAGACCTGTGGACATTCCTAAGAGAATAATTTAACAAGCAAGTGAAAAGTTAAGTCTGTGAAGGCTTCTTCCATAAAAGAAGAGGTGTCACTTCCAAAAATAAAACAACTTCAATTCAGATTTTTACTGCATCCCAGCCACGTGAGGTGCTTTATGGCATGAGGTGCAGGTATGCTAAAACCAGCATTTTGAAGGAAATTCAAAATGACAAACTTTTCATTTGTTCCAAATACTGAACCTGAATAGAATGTAAATATTTCAAAATATTTAACACCTTTGTAGCACCATATTCAAAGCAGTTATGACAGCACTGGCTTGAACCTTAACAGAGAAAACTTGACATTTTTGTACAGAAGGTTCCGAATTTTCCAATTTACACATACAGAACGTTATGGCAACAGTCATTTGTCAAAAACAGGCAGCGAGGAAAATCCACCCAAGCCCACCATGTGCACGCAGAAGATTTGAGTTTAACAACACCCAGTATTACAGAATAAATTTATGGTAGATGTAGACAATCAAATTTGCCGAAACAGAATTCAACTGCCTCCACCAATGGTTGCCTTTCTTCTCCTGTAATCCCCTCTCTCCATTCAGCCAAGCAAATTACAAACTGCAGAGAGGTGGGACAAGGCTCCTCGGCATGGCTTTGTATCAGCCCCAACACTAACCTGGTACGTGGAATAGCAGTGGCTTTCTGAAAAACTGCCCCAAAAGAAGATCTCACAAGAACTATAGCCTGAATTTATCATTAAATGCTACCATTTCTTTGACGTAGGAAAAACGTCAATTAAAATAATTTGGTGTATCATGTGTTAGCAGAACTAAGGCATTTGTCTTTTTTCACCCCGCCTTCCCCTCTCCAAAACGTCAGCTTTTCATCACTGACGTGTCTCCCATGAATGCTACAGCCTTGAACTATAAGAAAATACTTGAGTAATAAAGGGCCATACCATTTCAGTTAAGTAACTTTTTGAAACTGGGCTACGCCTCACAGCAATTGCTTAACCTTGTTTCCAAGAGCTTTCACCACTAAGCTCCTGCAAAAACACTATTTTGTGTAGTTCTGCTCTGAGATTATGCCATGTAATTCTCTACCCCAAAAGCCAACTTCCTTATGTTTAAAGGCGGTTACTCCATACATACAACCTTAAGCAGAGGACCACAGCTGAACCTACAGAACAAACTTGGCACCACTGAATTATTGCCTCAGAAGAAGTAGGATATAATCCAGTAAGTATCGAGGTGTTTTGGCGGCAATCCTGTTACAAATCAGAAAGGCGTTTCTCTGAGCAAAGTTTTATGAACTGCAAACTGTATTAGAACAGTCTGAAGCAGCTGAAAGAAATTACGTTCTCAGAAATATTCCAGAAATATTGGGGGGGGGTTCCATTACTTTTTTCTTCTTTTACCTTTACTATGCTGCTTTTCTTAAAACACTACTCTATTAAATAAGAAAAAATAAATATTCCAGTTATTTGCTTAGCTCATTTCTTAGAACAGGTACAGCACTCGTAATTCATATGAAACCGTGTCACGAAGAAGTATTTGCTACAAGCACCCCAGGAATTCTCACAAGACAAGCCAGCTGCACAATCACCTGTGAGACTTGGGTTTAGAAGTGATTCCAGCATTCCAATTCTCAGGCAGGTGCTAGCGCATGTAAGGTATAACAGAGCAGCTGGCTTTTGAGAGAGATCAAGTGTGTGTTTTAGCGCAAAGGTGCACTTCATTGTGCTGTGTTGGATGGACAGTTGCTCAAGACTGAGTGTCTTACTACACAAGTACAAAGAATTCAAACTGAGGCAACTGTTGAAGGTGGAGGGAACAAAGCTACAACTACTGTTTGGGAGGAACACAAAATTTCATTCTAAGTAAGTACACATAACAAACAGGAGAAATTTGTACTTTCACATTTAAAGACACCCTTCTCTCCCTAAGTGTCCCCTCCTTTATAGCGTTCAGAAATTTTTCAGTCTCTCCTATACATGGTGAGGTGGGCCTTTCTGCAGCTTCAACCAGCTCATTAACTTTCCAATTTGTATTTTTCTCTTTGGCATCATGAGCAGTAGCCTTTTGAGACACCTGTACCTCAAAGATGTTGGATTTAATCCCCAGCCTCCAGCCCAATGCCTTAACACTGCTTACCTCCCCAGCTGAATCACTGGACTTGCGCCCTCTCTCATCAGTACTCAATTTCAAACTTTTCTGCACTGGTGAAGGAGCAGGTGACGTTTTCTCCAACTCTCCTGGTACCATTTTTACCTTTTCTTGACCTTTTTGCTTTTTGTGCATGCTCTTCTTCTCCAAATAGGAATCCTGAGTTTCCACTTTTCTATCTTCCTCTTTATAATCTTCAGCTTTCTGAATTTTTTTCTTCTTTCTTTTAACCTTAACATCAATACTATCATCTTCATTACTTGCTGATCCATCAAGATGCCTATCAGCAATGGAATCTTTTTCAGCAATTTCTTGTTCCAATCCCTCTTCTCCACTTACTACCTTCTGCTTCTCATCTTTACTTTCAGAATTTAAGTCTGAATTTTCATTATCAGTTCCTTGAGAAAATACATCGTCTAGAGTAGTTGATTCTGAGTCAAAATTAACATCTCCATGCTTCTCCTTCCGTGATTTTTTACTTTCTTTAGAATCTTCTTTAGATTTTATTTTTAAGTCTTTAACTTCTCCCTTCTTCTTCTTGATTTCTTTAGTATCTTCTTTCCTTTGCTTCTTTGGGTCCTTTGAATCCTCCTTTGTTTCCGAAGTCCTTTTTTTTGGTTTTGAATCTAAAACCAAAGTATCGGAGGAATTTTCACATTCTGTTCTGGGTTTTTCTTTGAGTTTTGCAGACTTAGACTTTTTCTTCTTCAGGTCATCTGGATTTCTATCCTCTCCATCTTTTGACTTCTTCTTTTTCTTCCTTGGTGAAATATCACCTTTTGTTTCACTTTGCCAGTCACTGTCAGAGTCTGCTTCAAACACATCATCATTTAAAGACAGTTTCTAAAAGGTAGGGAAAAAAAGAAAAGATTTCTTTCCCCATTAAACTGTATCACTTTGGTGTAAAGTACACAAAAATGGTAGTGCTGGTGCTTGGGAAAAGTAAATTTTTAAACACCTTAATAATTTTATCACTGCAAACATAATTCCTCATTGCCAAATCAAAAAATTTGTAAATATAATTCTAGCTCATTTACCTAAATTACGTTACTAATCGTTGGATGAGAATTAATACATAAACAAGTCAAGCAAACCAATCGGACATCCACCAACCAGATTCCAGACCAGAACTCAATCTGAACTATTTTACATTAAAAACAATTAACCTTATTTTGTAAAATTTACCTGTAGGTTTCCCTGAAGTAGTTTTCAAAAAAATATTCTTAAGCTTCATTTTCAAACTGACCGAGCAGTTAAAAAAGAAAAGAAAAAGCCCTATGCTGCCTTCTTGCAATTAATTTTTCTGTATTCCTATCTTACCAAATTTAATGGTCAACATGCAAAAATTCATCAATCTGCTTCACAAAGCAACAGGGCGAATTGAGCAGCACCCAGCTTCACTGACAAGATAATATGCACGTG